AATCTTTATCTTTATCATCTAAGTTCATGTGTTCTCCTAATCAAATTTCCACGTTAACCCCATCATTAGGCCTTACTTCGCAATTTATAAGTGGTATTTTTTCGTATAACATATGTTTCTTGTGGGTGATTTGATGCTAGACGTTGGTTATTTCTTTTTTTAGGCTGTCAATGTACTCAGTAGTATCCTTAAGTTTTACTGATCACAGAGTTTCTTGTGTGTTTTGATTGGTATCTTTGAATGATTCCTCTCAACGTTTTTGCTGTGGGTAAAATGTATTGTTTAATTAGTTTACTTCTTTCCAAGTTGGTATTGCCACAACGTCTTTTACAATGTATACCTTTGATTTGTGATAATGTAGGTAGGTACCTAATCAATCTCATTTTTTACTGTTGATTCTGGACTTTTTGGTGGCTTTTGGAAGAACGTATTTATACAGGGTGTTTGGCGGAGGGTTAGCCAAACTTGGTGAGAGTATAATTAGGCCCATTTGGAAGATATTTTATTAATAGACTTGTGCCCTCAAGGTCCCCGTTTTTTTTATATCATTGCTTTTGTATTATTCTCAATAATTTTCAAAAATTGACCTTTTAACTTCTGTAACTTTTTTAAAATGTTTATCAAAATGTTTGTTTCGTGTATTTTTGGTCTGTAGGGTATCCTTGATCTAATAAAGTAATGGAGCTTACAACTTATTATTTCGGTAGCATTTGCGCCTAATTATAACTTTATTAGATCAAGGATACCCTACAGACCAAAAATACACGAAACAAACATTTCCATATACATTAAAGGGCACTCAAGGGCACAAGTGTATTGATAAAATATTTTCGAAATGGGCTTATCTGTACGCCCACCAAGTTGGCTAACCCTCCGCCAAACACCCTGTATAATACAAGTGTTCATTTTGAAAATAATTTCGGTCTCCTCGTTCGTTTGAGTCATCAATGCCGGAAATTGTTCCCTTGTACTGGATATCATTCACGTTGGCTTTCCCTATTTCAGCATTAAAGTCCCATGATGATTTAAATATACCTAGGCATTTTCACCTCCTCATCAGTGCTACTTATGGGCACGTATAATAAGATTAGAATGTTTTGGATGCTGTATCGTCTGGATATCTCCACATATATCACTCTGATGTTTGTCACTATGTATCTCTGTTTTATGGAACGTTATCGCAACTCCTCCGAGATGCGTATTTTCCTCTAAGTTGTTTTGGAATACCTAACAGATGTTCGTTTTTCAATATAGTGCATAGATACAGTGGATTTTACTTCCGGTTACCATAGTAGCAAGACACTCATTATTTGGATATTTTTTACGCGAATTTTAGCATGACAGAATCCTTTAGGTATGTATATACATCTCCAGCAGGTTTGGGATTTCTCTGACGTTTTCGAATTCGTCATCAAAATGATCAGATAATTATGATCTATTGTGTGTGATCTCTGAAAAAAAAAGGTAGGTAAAAGCGAGAAGGAGAGTGAAGTCATTGTAGAAGTTAAAGTTTCAACTTAACTAATGTTTCCTGAACATAGCGATACAATGACAAAAAGTATTATAATGCCCGTATTACATCTGTGTATTTTTCCGTGTATTTATTAGTTCAGGGTGCCAACATTATTTTATTTTTCATAATACGGATTTATGTTGCGTTTGGAGTAGTTTTTCGGTTGTCATTCTAAACTACATGAATAAATACACGGAAAAATACACAGAGGTAATACGAGCATAACTTACATATACTTACAAAATTTGGTTCCAGTTCCATTTGGTAATTTACCGTTGCACTCACAACTAATACGGAAAAGATAAGATATTTTAATGCCAATCCAAATGGTGTCTAGTAGATGAGATTGTTGAGTTTAAAAAGGTATTATATTTTTTGATCCTTCAAACAATGTAACTTTTTTAATAGTAGATTATACCACGAGTCAATAATGATAGCTATTATTCCCGAGGAATATTTACGAACTGAGCCGCGTTAGAGGCGAGGGAGTAACATTCCGAGGGAATAATAGCCATTATTGCGAGTAGTATACTCTACTTTATTTACGACAATTTAATTTATTTGAAATTTTTGTTTCAAAAACGCTCATTGTTCATCCATCTCAATACAAATACACAAGCACTACGCGTTTGACACTGACACTTTTGAGTTTGTTTATATTGGTTCCATGGTACTACTTATTTAATTTGAGAAATGTTGTGATTGGTGTGCAAGCGGGAATAATAACCATTAATCCCTGCGGGAATAATATATGTCATTAACCTGCCAAAATCACAAGTATAATCCTTACATTATATGTCAGTCGTGAATAAAATTATTTTATTTACGACTGACATATAATGTATTATATATGTGATTTTGGCAGTATAATGCCATATATTATCACACAGGGATTAATGGTCATTATTCCCGCTTACACACCAATCACCAAATTTCTCAATTCAAATAAGTAGTACCATGGAAACAATATACCTGAACAAACTCAAAAGTGTCAGTGTCAAACGCGTAGTGCTTGTGTATTTGTATTGAGATGGGTGAACAAAGAGCGTTTTTGGAAAGAAAATTTCAAATAAATTAATTTGTCTTGTCGTGAATAAAGTGGAGTATACTACTCGCAATAATGGCTATTATTCCCTCGGAATGTTACTCCCTCGCCGCTAACGCAGCTCAGTTCGTAAATATTGCTCGGGAATAATAGCTATCATTATTGTCTCGTGGTATAATCTACTATTATTTCCGACTTATGTCACCCCCAGGGATTAATAACGAGTAGCGGGATTAATGGTCATTTTCACATTATTCCTCAAAAGTGTCAGTGTCAAACGTGTAGTGCTTGTGAATTTGTATTGAGATGGATGAAATTTGCTATTAAAAATCTCAAATAAATTAATTTGTCGTAAATAAAGTAGAGTATGCTACTCGCAATAGTGGCTATTATTCCCTCGGAATGTTACTCCTTCGCCGCTGACGCGGCTCGGTTCGTAAATATTCCTCAGGAGTAATAGCTATCATTATTGACTAATGACTCGTGGTATAATCTACTATTTTTTCTATATTAGACTATGCTCAGCCAGCGATTTTTTTCCCAAATAGATATATTTATTGCTAAACTAAATTCAAATATTTTTATTTAGAGCTGCGATATGGCTGAAGGCCGCTGGAAGAGAGGATCTTCTAGAGAAAAACTACATAAATTATAAATTGTGCGAGGATCATTTTGTTCAAGGTTCCGTGTACTCAACTTCGAGAGGTACACGACTCTTGCCGGAAGCCGTGCCGACAATTTTCTGCGGCCCACCAAAATTCGACGAAGACGCCGCAGAAGTTCTCAACTTACCAGGTTATAATAAAGAGTAATTACCTTAGAAAATTCTTTAAATTTTTCTATAAATTATAATTTTCTAACACAACCGTGTTTATGCTTTAATCGTGTGAAAATATTATTTCGACTCAATAAGTGACTGTGATGAACACTAAACTGATCCATGTGATTCTAGTGGAATTGTGTGATGTAAATCGCCTTTGGCGGTTTTTCATCAGAAATTCCAAGGGTTTGAATGTTGACATTGGGCTGACATTAATTGACTTATTGGTGCTTCGGAAACTTGATAACGGAGCTATTTGGTCATCACAGTACAATGTGTGGATTACCTAATTGTATGGAAGGCTTCCAGCGGAAGCTCCCGAAATATACCTTCTTCACGGTTTATAAAGTTGGGTTTGAAATTTGTTTATGTAGTCATTTCAACTGTGTCTGTATCTGAGCCCACTCACAGATTAATTGCGGGCAAAACCCAAACAGGTACATTTATGTTAATGAGGTGGATTTTATCTGCAACGCTGTAACCGAATTGCGGTCGGACCATATTTTATGGCCCACTTTGATACCTCCCTCATTATTTTTAGAAAATATTTTCAGTTCAACACCCACTGGCATCGCAGCAAGTCGATTATGGAGTTCGAAAGAATGTTAAGTGAAAAAGGGCATCCGCTCGTGGTTTTTGAAAATTATAAGTTTCGTAAATACCGCGTGTTAAAAACGACAGAAGAGGAGGTGTGGTGTTGCACAAGGAAAAATTGTAATGCAAAAATGTATATTTTAAACTCCTCTTTTTCACGAAAAACTGGGGAGCATAATCATCAGTTGGAAGAAACATTATTAATTCGCCAAAAAATTAGTAACTCCCTAAAGAAAAAAGCTGAAGAACTATGCAGTGAGAGGCCACTAGAGCTGATACAAAAAGAACTAAAGGCCCAAAGTTCTTCAATCGATGGTATTTCCATGAAAGATATCCATTATATCCGCAACAATCTGAATCATGCTAGACGACAACAAACGCCAAAATTACCGAAGTCTCCAGAAGAACTACAAAGTACAAGTAAAGGTGAACCGTTTTTGCTTATTAACGATCTGGAAAGTAATATACCTTGTTATAATTTCCTATGTCTCGAACATTGAACTTCTATGTCCCAAGAAAGAATATATCTAGATGGAATTTTTAATTATTGCGCAAAATTCGTGCTACAATTATTAACTATTCACGCGTGTGCAAATAAAACTCTATATACCTGAGTATTAGCAATACTTCTAGAAAAAGATAAATATATAACTAAATACATTGAGAGGTGACATGGGTCTTTCAGCCACACTACTGAATAAACGATAATGAATTTTATTCCAATTATTTCTTATTTCAGATATATTTTCTTGTTTTTCCCGGATGGCAATTATGCTATTGTATCGCTGAGATTTATAAAGTTCAAACCAAAAATAGTTTTCCTTCCAATGTACACTGCTCTCAATAAATTGGTAACCAAAAAATATTTATGTGTTTTTTTGTTTTAAACAAGAACAATATAGTTGTATGTCTAAAAAGTTACGAGTGGTTTCTTCAATCTATTTACCCTTTATCCTAAAAAATCATTTACCATCCATCATTGTTTTCATTTGCCACATTTTAATTCAGTTAATTTATTTCTTTTCCAGTTAACAAACGTAGAAGAAAGAACATAGACAGTTGCGAGGATGATTCAACTAGTGATTCCAGTAAACTCATAGGAATGCCGATAGATGATCGCGGAGCTTCTAGGTAAGTGTTAAATTTCTGTTAAAACTTTCTACAAGTGATCAACTAATCAGCCTTCAATTATACGAAATTTAATTTTCAACCTATGTCAAAAAATACTATCCAAACCACTATCACAAACAGAAAAAAAAACCAATAATAAAATAATCAATGGAGTTAAAAGAATTTTTATTAAACTACTTTTAATAATGAAAAAAACCATTCACCAAATTGTATTTTAATGAGATTTTCCTTCCCTTTATTATTCCAGACACCTTCAATGTCAGTCAGACGAGAACATGTCAGATTCCGATTCCGTAATTAACATCATCAAACACGAAATTGACATCCCAGAATATGTTCCAGACTTGCAAGAAGCCGAAACAATAATGATCAAAGACGATGAGGATGATGATGATGATAGTAATCTGTCTACATACAATATTGAAGAAATAAATATTAAAGAAGAACCCATCAACGAGCAAAATAATTTTGACGATCGGCATCCTGTAGATGTTTTTTGCAAAAGCGTGGCTTTATCATTGAAAAGTTTAAGAAAGGATTTGTGCAACGAGGGTAAAATTCGAATTATGCAACTGATCTCTGAGCTAGAGCAACGAAATTCTTTGCCCAACGAAGGCCCTTGTACCAGTAAAAGTATGAACAATCGCGCTGAACCAACTAGTACTGTAACAAACTATTTAGTTCCAAAAAAAGAACTTGACTGATAGAATTCGTTTTTTTTTTGAATATTAACTAAAGTTTCTTTTGTACGGAAATTGATTGTTTATTTTTCAAATAAAATTATTTTTCATTTCTTCCTAATCTTGTTTTTTTATTCTGTCAACATGTCTGTTCACTGAATATCCAATAGGCGTTTTATTAAGCAATGTAGGATCCTCAATTTCCATTCCAGGGGGGTATTCGTCTCGCATTTCCGCAGTTTGGAAGCTGGTCGGTTCTTCGTTGTTTGTATAACCTTGGTTAAGTAGTCGTTCAAAGTACTCTTTCCATGTTTGCAGCATTTGATCTTGCCTGGTTACTAGATCTCCGTTGTCATCCTTGATGTTGTGGGATCTGGATCTCAAGCCATTTTTTCTTGTTCTTATTGTCAGAATCAATTAACATCAAGTTGAAAGTGAACTGGCAAAGAAGCTGCTGCCTTGTAGCTGGATGTTGAATCATCAAAGGCTAGAGGAAGACAACCTTGATCACAAATTACCTGGTCCTCCTGGGTAGGGGGTTGAGGCATCGGGCTAACTCCCCGTTACTCGGAAAAAAAATTAGACTGTTAGAAGACCCAATCAACAGCCTCGGAACAGGACCGGAAAACGAAGGCGAACTAGGCAACGGAAACGGACAATGAGTATCGGTACATGGAACGTCCAAGGAATTTCTAGAAAATTGAATGAAGTGATGTCAGAGATAACATATCAAAAAATGGATCTGCTTGTCGCCACAGAGACCAAAAAGAAAGGACAGGGCTCAGAAAATTTGGGAGAGTACGATCATTTCTTTAGCGGGGTTCAAAAAGAATTCAGAGCGAAGAAAGGAGTTTCGATCTTCATACATAGAAAATGGAGAAAACATATAAGATCATGGGAAGCAGTAAACGAAACCATAATAAAACTAAATGTATGTATGTTCGGAAGGAAAATAACAATCTTGGGAATATATGGAGTGAACGACGACGAACCCGTTAATATAAAGGATCCATTTTATCAACAACTCAGTGACCAAATCATAAAAGTAGGAACTTCAAGGGAAATAATATTGCTGGGAGACTTTAACGGACGAACAGGAAGAAAAATCAACGACAAGGTGATCGGAAAATTCGGAGAGAATGTAACGAATAACAATGGAAAAAGGCTCATAGAAATATGCCAACAAAATAACCTAAAAATCCTAAACGGTTACTTTCAGCATAAAGAAATACATAGGTACACATGGAAAAATGAAACTAGACAACAAAAATCTATTATTGACTACACTATCGCAAAACAGAGCTCGAACATAAAATTCCAGGATGTGAGAGCATATAGGGGAGCGATCATTGCCTCCTAAAAACAAAAATCTTTATCTTTATCTTTATACTAAAATCTCTAGAACAGCAAAGCGTAAAAGGGTTGTACATGAAGAGATTAGATCAAAAATTACAGAGTAGTATGAGCTTCCAAAACCTTGAAATGCATTACCAACATATCAAAGACAGTATTCACAGTGCAGCATTTGAAGCCCTTGGCAAATATGAAAAAAAGGGAAGTAGGCCCACACCTTATTGGTGGGATCAAGAAATAGAAAAAGACATAGAAGATAAAAGGAAGAAATACCAACAGTATCTAGGTTCAAATAAGACCCGAGACAAAGAAATATATAAAGAAGCACAAGCAAGAGTACGGAATAAAATAGTACACAAAAAGAACGAGTCATGGGAAAGAAACTGTGCGCATATTAATACTTATCTGGGGAGTAAAAGAAACACAGAAAGTTGGAGATTACTCAAAAACATGAGAAAAACACAAACTAAGGATATTATCAATAGTAATATAACTAGTGCAATGGAAATTATTGATAATTCTTGGGAAATTTGCCCGAATGCACTACGTGCACTCGTGCTCTTTTTCAGTTAAAAACGCATGAGTGCAAATTTGTCGAAAATTATAAATATATTTCCATTGCACGAGTTGTATTTAATGAGAGAATTTCATAAATCAAAAATTTAAATTTTTTGTCAAAAAATGTCAAAACACCAGTTTTCGCACCAGTTAGTATGCAATTATCTGATAATTTGCACTAGTGCAAATTATCGCGTAATTACAATCTGATTGGTTCAAATCAACAATCAAAACATGTCAATTTATTGTTGGAATACTTACCAGTTTTGACAGATGTATGAAATTCTCAATACAATAACACCCCAGCAATGGGAAGAGTACTTTGAAGAATTACTGACAGAACAGCGGGCAGAGTTTAAAGAAGAAAGGGAACAGACACGAAACATAAAAACTACAGGATCACCAATACGAGTTATGCAAGAAGAAGTTAAAAAACACTGCGGCTTCTTGAAAAATGGTAGGGCACCAGGACCAGGAGAAATATATGGAGAACTGATAAAGTGTGGGACCAATAAACTCTACAAACATTTAACAAAACTATTTCAAACATGCATAGATAAACAAGAAGTACCGGAAGAGTGGAAAACTATTTAACAACGATATATAAGAAAGGAGACAGAAACAAATGCGAGAACCACCGAGGAATTGCAGTAAAAAAAAACGCTGAGCAGAGTGTATGGAAAACTCATAAAAGCCAGAATAGAGAACGAGTACAAAGATAGTGAGGCAGAAGAACAGGCCGGTTTTAGAGCAGGAAGATCAACTGTAGACCATTTATTCAGTTTGACCCAGTTAATGGAAAAGAAATTAGCCTATAACCAAGAACTCCATTTACTTTTTGTCGATCTAAAGAAAGCATACGACAATGTTCCGCTGAAAAAGCTTTGGGAAGCACTGGAAAAGACCAATATCAACTTAGAACTAATAAAGGCAGTAAAAACGCTCTATAGTGATGCAAAAACCAAGATTAAACAGGGAAACTTAATCAGTAAAGGCTTTATAGCAACTAAAGGACTTAAACAGGGATGCTGCATATCACCAACACTTTTTAAAATATACTTAGAACAAGCGCTCAAAGGGTGGAAAAACAAATGCAGACACATGAGAATACCGCTCAATGAATACAATCTTTATACTTTAAGCTTTGCAGATGATCAAGTATTAATTGCACAGGACTATGATGACCTAGAGTACATGACACGAAAATTGATAGAGGAATACGAGAAATGGGGTTTGGAAGTAAATTTAACGAAAACAGAATATATGACTATAGGAGGTGAACAACGAAATCTGAAATTGAATAACGGACAAGAAATAAAACAATGTTCTGAATACAAATATTTGGGCATGAAAATCTCACACGAGGGAACCCTAGACGAAGGAATAAGAAATGGGAATATACAAGGACGCAAGGCAATATCCCTACTAAATGGTGTACTGTGGGATCAAAATATCAACCAAACTAACAAAACGAGAATATACAACAACATAGACAAAAGCATAGTCACGTATAGTTCAGAAGTCTGGCCACTAAAGATCAGAACCGCAAAAATGCTGGAAGCAACTGAAATGGACTTTTGGAGGAGATCGGCAGACAGGTCAAAAATGGAGAGGATAACAAATCTGAGAATTAGGGAGATTATGGACGTAAAACACACAATAATAGATGATATAAAGGACAGACAGCTGATTTGGTTCGGACATGTACAAAGAATGGCAGATACAAGAATACCCAAGCAAATAATCGAGTGGAAGCCAGGGGGAAGAAGAAGACGCGGCAGACCAAGAAGAAGCTGGAGAAGTGGGGTAGACGAAAAATGAAAGACAGAGGCCTAGAAGAGGATGCCTGGATTGACAGAGATGGTTGGAGATCGGGAATCGGAAGACGTAGAACATTATAAACCGATAATTATATATATATTATTGTCTTATAGAATTTCCTGGTATTGTTCCTAAAATCGACTTCCCGCGGTAGTTTATTAGCCTATCTTCTTAGTTGGCTGAATTTACTGGTATTATCTTCAGTAGAATCCTGCATCATTACTAGTCTTGTATTATTTCTCGCCTTAAGTACCTACTGTCTCACATTCCAGATCCTACCACTGGTTTCAAATTTTGTTTCTTGGCTTTACTTCCGCACGGTCACTCTTGCTGCCTCTATGATAGTTTCGGATAGTACTTTCCGACTCGTTTCAATGTCATCTGTGTTTATAATTTTTTGGCTCCGGTGCTCTATTACCGCTTGGAAACGCCTTCTGATTTCTTCGTTATCCAGTTTTGCTGTATCCCACTGTTGATCTTGTTTGGAATGAACATTTTTGTATTGTATCTTCAATGGTTTCCAAAATCCCCATGTCAATACTCAAGTTATTCTAGTCACCCTTTATAGGTGCCTACTAGCAACCTGATTAAACTCACGTAGATTTAGGACATGCTTTTATTGAATAATAGTATATTGTGTATTTAGGTGGAAAAGTGACACATTCTCGGCCGACGGTGTAAGTTGACGGGCGAGGCGTAGCCGAGGCCGGCAAACAGCGAAGGCCGAGAATGTGCTTTTCCACCGAAATACACATACTATTTTTTCTGCGATCGGTTAAATACCTGTTAAATGTTTGTCTTTTAGTTCCAATTATTCAGCAATACGAGAATCACTTTCCCGGCCTAGGCCGGAAAAGTGTTTTCTGACTGGTTTGTTTTTAATATCAGGTATATTTTTTGTGTCGTATTTCATTTAAGGCCGCGTTAATGACCACCATGTTTAAACTGTGATTGGTTGATTTTTCGAAACTTGTTTTAAGGTCTCTAAAAAAAACGGCACATCAGAATTGGCTCAAATTTGGCATAAACATTATTTGATCGATTATCTACAATTCCTTATTTTGGTTTTTCGATATTCAGCCTTTTTTTTAATTCAAAAATCATGTTCGCAACCACCAAAACAATTAAATGTGTTGGTGGTTGCATTTTTGCATGCTTATCAAGCTTGGATCCGTGAAAAGCATATTTTATTGATAACCACAAAAAACTAAAAAAAGCTAATTGTAGAGATTGTAGATAATATATCAAATAATTTTGGAAATTATTGCGGATTTTTTGAGATGAACTTAAAAGGAATTTTGAAGGTGAAAACAGTTCAAGCAATTTCGAGTAGATGGCGCCACGGCAAAAAAGCTACATTGGGAGCATCATAGTTGTATATTTGTCTTTCTCTGTCACTAAGTGTTTCATCGACAAACAGATTTTGTTTTGGACTAATAATAAAATATTGAACCCTATGTATAGAGTGACGCAGTCCTCATTTTCAAAAACTAAATTTAAACATGACGGCCATTAACGCGGCCTTAATCTGCGATTTGTCATGCCAGACACCACAGAACATATCACCTATAGAAAAATATCTCAAATGGGAGAATCGCGACGAAGGTTTT